ACAATAAATCTTGTAATGGGCGGAGCCATCACATCCAGTGAATAATAACAGAGGTCACTGTATGACTGCCATTCTGCATAACTATATTTTGCAAGCTGGATATATATCACTACACAAAGCACTAATCTGTGCATAGATTGCTCCCTTTTTCTTATGTTCATACAATGAAGTTGGATTTAACGTTCACACAACGTGATTCTTTTTAAACCACGTGGCTACGCAATTGAGTTCACCATCTGCATCGGCTTCTCAGATGACTGGACAAAGGCCATTTTGAAAACTCGTATTTTATATCACTAAAAGTTCACAACATTAATACTGTATATAGGAGAGCTAAATAGACGAATTATAATACATAATTTACAAACGATGCGTTTTAGAATCATAGCGAGAGTGGATGTGCATGGATTCAGAAACAACCGCCCGTGTGATCACTGGCGGAGCCAGTGGGGGGGTGGAACGTGCCCCCCAATTATCCAATCGAAATCCCTAATTTCGATTGGATCATTGGGGTTTATTAGTAATAAATCGACATTTTGCGACCCCCACTGCCACTGTGTAGCATATTATTACGTTCCAGGGACTGTATGAGATGATAAGACAATAGTCTGAGTCCATATTTGGCAATAAGTAAACGCAAAACAGTTATAAGTGACTCACAGAATTGTGCACAGTTGCGTATATAGTACACGACTTCCCTGAAGGCATACCTTCAGCGAGCGCGATGCCGATCACACGACGCGGTTCGAATTCGATTCTCGATCGATGGCTGCGCCATCGCCGCACACGCGTCGAATAAAAAGCAAGAGACAAGTCCTTGCTTACTAACAACTATCATTTTTCATTGCTGGAGGGGTTGCCCCCCTACCTGCAAACCCTGGCGCCGCCAGTGCCTGCGATATCTATCTTTCAATTCCACCAATCCACAACTCCCTGCCCATGTGACCAGGTCACGTAGGTAAAACATCAAAATTAATAAAATAAAATAAAACAAAAATCACGACGTTTCGGAGGCAACACAAGTCTCCGTCATCAGGTGGGACCGTCACAGCCGGATTAGCTGCATCAAGTGAGGCAATGATTCAAGATGTAATCCCTTAACAAGCAAGTTGAGGGGGAGGAGAGGGGGGCTAATCAGAATGTGGTAGCCAATGAATGGAACGTATCGGGAGGGAGGGGGGCGGGGCTCAAAGACGGCACGGAGTGCCAACATACAACGCATCGGGAGGGGGGGGGGCAAAACTGTGCAACGCATCGGGAGGGGGGGCAAAGAGTGCACGACGGCATCGACGCTGTTGCACAACGCCAACGCATTGGACAGAGGGGGAGGGGAGGCCTGATACACATGATAGAAAAGAACAAAAATGCCCATGTTTATACCAATGCTGGCTGAACAATGAAGAGAGTACTGTTAAATACTGGGGATGTTAACACTCGGTAAAGTAAAGTAAGATAGTGCCTGTCAAATAAGATGATCCAAAAAAGTGTAATTAAGTCTTTTTTGCGTGGTTAATAACATCTTTCCAATGATTACTAAGTTTAGTTTACTGAAAGTTTAGTAAACTTAGTAATCATTGGAAAGATGTTATTAACCACGCATAAAAAGACTTAATTACACTTTTTTGGACCATCTTATTTGACAGGCACTATCTTACTTTACTTTACCGAGTATTAACATCCCCAGTATTTAACAGTACTCTCTTCATTGTTCAGCCAGCATTGGTATAAACATGCGCATTTTTGTTCTTTTCTATCATGTGTATCAGGCCTCCCCTCCCCCTCTCTGTCCAATGCGTTGGCGTTGTGCAACAGCAACAGCGTCGATGCCGTCGTGCACTCTTTGGACCCCCCCTCCCGATGCGTTGCACAGTTTTGGCCCCGCCCCCCCCCCCCTCCCGATGCGTTGTACGTTGGCACTCCGTGCCGTCTTTGAGCCCCGCCCCCCCTCCCTCCCGATACGTTCAATTCATGGCTACCACATTCTGATTAGCTCCCCCCCCCCTCTCCTCCCCCTCAACTTGCTTGTTAAGGGATTACATCTTGAATCATTGCCTCACTTGATGCAGCTAATCCGGCTGTGACGGTCCCACCTGATGACGGAGACTTGTGTTGCCTCCGAAACGTCGTGATTTTTGTTTTATTTTATTTGTATTAATTTTGATGTTTTACCTACGTGACTTTACCGAAAAAACCTAAGAATATGAATCCTTGCAGTCACGAAAGCTTCAAATCTAGAATCATGTGACCAGGGTCGCATTGTCGAGCTAATGCAATTGTGGGGGTGGGGTGTTGAGGGGGGCAGAGGCTGGGGTGGGGGGTCATACATGCGTGTCTCCCTTAACCAGCGTTCTTTCTACGATAATTCGCTATAACGAGCAATTTAAATTGACCCATTTGTTCGCAAATGGAGCAAAATGTTCGCTTAGCGAGCGGAGGTCGATCGATCTATATGCTTCCTGTGGCGACTAGCTGTGCTGTGTGTGTTTTCTTCGTGTGGGGAAGGGGGCCTAACATCAGTGGTGAATGATATTTGAACCAGCGGTCCTACATGGCCCCTGATTTTAAAATTATTTGTATGTTTGACCTTAAAAAAAGTTGTTCAACGGTGGAATATTTTGGGACTTAATCGTAGCTCAGCTTTTAACATGGGAGTGATTCAATGAGAAAACTGCGCAATTTTGGCGGAACGTATCTCACTCGTAAACCGAGATACGCCTGTACTGTATATCCCTAAGAAATAGGAGTGAATGCATTTAATTTAGGATTTTTTTACGATAACACAACTACGTAAAATGTAATTTGCCAAAACATGCCGAGTACTACGTTAGGCTCTTGTCACGTGTAGACTGAATGTTGACAGAGACAGTAGAGTTGAACTCCTGATCTGTGACAGCCAGGGAGAACCTTGTTGTGGATAGGGCATAGTAAGGCTTGCCACATGTACGGGTTAAACCTTGACAGGTGGCAACCCCTACTTTTAAATTGAAAACTAATTTCTTTAGAACTGCATTTTGTGTTTAGTTTGTTGTCCTCCCGCACCTCCGATTAGCACAGTTGTCGACAGTCGATGTGAAAAAAGTTCAACATACATGCAAGAACTTACGTCTTTAGAACTGCTTTTTGTATTTTGAGCATTATCCTTCCACCACACCTCCGATTAGCATGGTTGGCTACGTACGGTGCGAAAGAAGTTCAACACACACACACATACTATGTCACCTGCTACCTTCCGCTTGGACACTTTTCTGTTCCTCTCTGACACCCGAATTCTAAATTGGATAATTTGTCTTCTTCGTGTTTCTCTCGGTTGCGTCTTCCTTTCCATACTTAGCACATTTTTTTTATATAGCCTTTCACTGTGAATGTTTATCTCTCCTCGGGGTAATTTGTGTGCCTTGACACCGCTGACTGACATGCCCGATTTTTTTGTTTGTTAAATGCTTATTTTTTTGTTATTACTGATGTATGAGGTGATGCTGTCCATATGAAGGGCTCGATACAAATTTGATGATACGATGATCCAAGCAGAAAGTGTTTGCGATAAGACTGTGGTTGTGTTTACCTCTTTCGTGTGACATGGTCGTGGCTGCTTGCTCTGCGAAAAGGTTGAAGCAAGTTAAATATTTGATACGCGGCATCCTGGTAATGAGGAGCTCACCAGTAACACGGTGCAGTTCTCATCGTGATGTTACAGAAGTTGAATCCTATGCTTCACTGACTGCAAAGGAAGCTGCTGGCGAGCGGTTTGGAGATCGTATGCGACGCGTCTTGTGTACGACGCCCGGTTACCATGTCCCCGCACACAGCCTCAACGGGTGCAAGACCGGCAAAGGATAGCGCAAAAGAAGGACAATTGAACACGGGTGACTGAGTTTTGAAGTGTTTTGAAGCTTTTAGTCTCCCACCAACTCCCTATGTTGTGGCGATCCACCAACCCTAGCCTCTAAAGAACTCACTGCTCTGAGAACCCAATTAAGGTTCGAGTTGTCCTAGGGGAGACTCACAAAAACACGCCAAAATAGGAGGGTAAAATATTACGAATGTCAAACGAGAACATGTATAGTGCATATGTCTCGCAATTTAGGAAAAAATATTTTTTTTTTACTCACGTTTTTCTATGGATACATATTATAGGGCCCTGTGGTGCACTTCATGAAATACAGCGGCACCCTTACTGCATTAACATTCACCGTCACCGAAGACTTAAGCATTTGCATTATCCCGAGGAGTGAGTTCAAAGCTTTTTATATTTCCCCGCTGTCCATCATTTCATGTTTACCCATAAACTTATATGCGTTGTGTTTTTTAAATCAAATGAATGGCAGTCAACTGAAACATCGAGTCCTTCTCTGCTGTCAGCAAAAAATATATAATCAATTTTTACCGCAGTATTTCCATTTAATTAATCAGTGCAACCAATGTATAATTAACTAATTTATTTGTGAAAGAAGAGGACGGGTGAATTAAAAGATAAACCGTGGGTTGGCATTAATATCAGAATCGCCGTAGCAGTGCTATTTGGTACTGAATATACCCGGCTAACCCTCGGTAACATTGTAGATATTTCATAAAAACTCAAGTCAGTTCATTAAGCTTCCCCAAAACAGTTTTTTTAAATCTCAATAGCATTGTACTTTTAAGTGCACAAAAAGTTAAACATAGCCATTTCATGGAATTTTGTGAGTTTGATGATGGCCCATTTATTAGACGTCATTACACATTGCGAGAGCATTTAACTCCTCTGAAGAATTTCCACAGCATCCATGCTATTGCCCTCCAGAGATTATTATTATAATTGTTTTAAAGCTAATTATTCTTGCTTATAAACGTGCAAGACGAAAGTGTAATTTGCTTGTGTTGCTATTTAGCACTTGATCGAGCAATACTTTAGGTAATCAAATTAAAACTAGCAGATCACTGCAGAATTATATCGCAGTTCATTAAATGTTTCTGAGCACCGCTGCTCGGCAAGCAAGCAAGCCAGCCGGGCGGGATTAATGCAAGCACGCTGACTCCCGGGGAATTAGTCAGTCGCATCTTAATGAATGGGCTTTTCCAGATTTGTTTCTATTCATGTAAAAGGCCGTTTCGCTTTGATTGGGTAATTTTACCACAGTGGAAAAGATCAAATTATCCATAAGTTGACGATTGCTCCTCCCCATTCCCTCCACCCCCACGTTTTTCCCGTAATTAAACCGTTTAATGTCCCCTATTGTGAAACGGGCAGGAAAGGGAATGTCACCACATTTTACTTCGTACCGAAAATACCCGG